CTCATTTTGGCGTGGTGTCCCACGCAGGACTGAATGGTGAGCTGGCCAGCCCAGGAGGTTTCGGTGGGGCTCTTACTCTCTCCCCACAAATCAGCGCAGCAGCCGGCGCCTACTCCCGAAGCCCCATGGTGTGTAAAGACCGAATGATTAGTCTCTGATGAGGTTTGGTTTACAGTTCTGTATCAGGTCTGACTGTTACAGTGTGGCCTCAAAACTAGATGGATGTGTTCTCTGTTATCAAGTAGTGTTGCACACTCATTATGTACTCAAAGTTATAACTATTACTTTCTCTGATTCACTTTGATAGAGTGGTAGTCATAGAGATTTGCTATTGAAATAGCTTATCTGGATCACAATGCTAATCTGAGTAGCACTTCTGAAAAAAGCTTAAAAGCCTTTCCCCAGTGCGCTCCATGTTGTCTTCAGCGACAGTACACACATCCATCATCAGAACATACATGAACACAACGTAGCTCAAGCAGTCCAGTCACAGTTTTTACATTTTTCTGGGATCCATATAACTCCAACAGGTACATCTTCTCATTAGTCTCACTAGACTCACACAGATCAGCACAGTTTTTAGGGAGCAAGCTCTTGTTATGTTCTTGTAGCCCCATTGTTTTAATTCAGCTTTGTAGAAGAATGCATTTGGATGAAATGCATTTGTAGTTCGTCCTAGTCAGGCTGTTAATTGTTTGTCCACTCTTATGTTCTTATCAGGTGGCGTATGACTCGCGGGCTCACCTGAGGACCTCTGGGCTGCCCTCCTCTCTGCCTGGCTCCTCTGGTGGCAAGCCGTAAGTTCACACTTCTCCAGTATCCATACAGGACATACATACACATAACGTTCTGCTCCTGCATGCATGCAGCATGAATGGAGATCTCTTATGAGTTAAAATGTAATTGTATGAAAAAAATTGTGTTTCTATTTGTCTTACTGGGACCGACGATTCTGTATTTTGGGAGATGCACCTTTAAGCTTTCTTTACTACCATTTGTGTGTATATACAGTATTTAGCATGGATACTTACAGTACATTCCCAAGTTGCATTATGTGTATTTACCTGTAGCTCTTCTACTTGCATTCACACATTTGTTTTAGCCCATTTCTCTAGTCCTTCAATTTTCTTGACAGCACCTACTAGTCCAAATTTAGTTTATTTTTAGCTTTAGCTCTTTCATTCTCAAGTATTGATTTATTTCTGTTCCCTTCCTCTTCTCTTCTCTCCAGCGCCTACTCGTTCCATGTGAGCGCAGATGGCCAGATGCAGCCGGTGCCCTTTCCCCCCGATGCCCTTTTGGGCCCGGGAATCCCTCGCCACGCCCGTCAGATCCACACCCTGAACCACGGGGAGGTGGTGTGCGCCGTCACCATCAGCACCTCGACGCGCCACGTCTACACAGGAGGAAAGGGCTGCGTCAAAGTGTGGGACATCAGCCAGCCGGGCAGCAAGAGCCCCATGGCCCAGCTGGACTGTCTGGTGAGACATGACGAAAGAAGGGCAAGAGGCACCGAGCTGATATGGTTTTACTGGCTGTGTCATCTTTCCACCTCAGTTTTTATAACTAACATCATCAAAATGTCCACATTAATTTCCTGAATGTCCCTAAGTTTATTACTATCTGTCCTATAAAACCTTCTTTCCTAAGCACAGACACAACAGGTATAATTTAACTCGTTGTCTTATCTTGTCCAATCAGAACAGGGATAACTACATCCGCTCCTGTAAAATTCTCCCTGATGGACGAACCTTGATTGTTGGCGGGGAAGCCAGCACGCTATCAATCTGGGATTTGGCCACACCTACTCCTCGCATCAAGGCAGAGCTGACGTCATCTGCTCCCGCCTGCTACGCTCTGGCTATCTCCCCCGACAACAAGGTCTGCTTCTCCTGCTGCAGCGACGGCAACATCGTCGTCTGGGACCTTCACAACCCGACTCTGGTCAGGTGAGAGGAGACGGCATACAACTTTGTTGTCTTACAAATTGTACAGACTATAGTCATGAGGCAGTACAGAAAGGAGAGAGACAGAGGTGAGAAAGGCTTGAGGATGTGGAAACATTTCATAAGAAAGCAGGAGAGGATAAAACAGGAAAGGTGATAAGACACATAAGAAGACAGACGGAGTGATGAGAAATCGTTGCAGTCTGGGGCTTCCTCATCTATAACCTTATGGTTAAGTAAAAAAGAGGTGAGATGAACTAGTCATTGGGGATATGGGTGGAATAAAACTACCAGGTTTGACAAAGTAGGACTAAAAGCAGTAGGGACGAAGGGAAGGAAGATTGTAGTAATGTGGGGGAAGTGAAAGTAAGAATCAGGGGTGGGTGGGTGAGTGTAGTGGGGCTGAGGCAAGGGAAAGACAGAAAGATATTTGGCCTGACATGTCCAAGAGAACAGAAGCAAAGAAGCTCACAAGCAGAGTTTGTACAGTGTGTCTTTATGCAGGTATGTGTGACAATTTCTGAATCTCTGTCACTTCTCCTCACTGCAGGCAGTTTCAGGGTCACACAGACGGAGCGAGCTGCATCGACATCTCCAACGACGGCACCAAGCTGTGGACGGGAGGGCTGGACAACACCGTCCGCTGCTGGGACCTTCGAGAGGGACGCCAGCTCCAGCAACACGACTTCTCCTCGCAGGTACACACAGCAGTGCAGGCTGTTTCAGATAGGCACATACACACACAGCTGCATCAGTTAGCCATATACACATAAGCACATGTAGGGGGCACACCCACAGCAGCATGAACTTGTCTACCACGCACACAAACAGACACTTTATTATTTGTCCTTTACAGGTTCATACAAATATACTGCATTACAGGGCCATGGACACACACCATATTCACACATATCTGCCACAGGGTTCACCTCCCAAGAAAGCTTATGCACACAACTAGCAGGTACTGACACAAATACACACTAGCAGAAGCACATGTACATACACAAGTATGATTACACACACACACACACACGGTCTTTCTCATTCACTTGTCACTGTCACAACAGAGCTATAGACTTGACCACTGTTGTCAGATGAGTTTCGATCCACCTTGTAATGACTCTCTTTTTCTCTCTGTCTCCCATTTTCCCTCTCCCTCTTGCTGTTCTCTCTCATTCTTTACCAATGGCTCTCTCTATTAATTCACTCTGTCGTTACCTCCACCACATCATTCCACTCTATTCTTTATTTTAACTTTCCACCATCTTTCCACTTTTCTGCTTTCACTCATCATGGTTCTTTTACTTGATATCCCACATCTCCTCATTCCTACTTAATCCCTTCATTTGTCCACCCTGCTTCCTTTTTTGTTCCTTTTTCCATCATCCTTATTTCCCCATCATCCCACATTTTGTCACATCTTTTATTTTCATTTCTGCACCCATGCTGTCTGCCCATTTGCCTCCTGTCCTCTCCTTCTCTCCCTCCATATTTTTCTTTTCTCTCTTTCATCTTTTACCCTCTTTACATTCACATTCCTTTGATTCATTCTCTCCGTCTCCAAGATCTTCTCTCTGGGCTACTGTCCGACAGGCGAGTGGCTGGCTGTGGGAATGGAGAGCAGTAACGTGGAAGTCCTGCACGTCTCCAAACCTGACAAGTACCAGCTGCACCTCCACGAGAGCTGTGTTCTCTCACTGAAGTTTGCCTACTGTGGTACGCACACATGCAGCCTAGCTTTGATTGGCTCCTAAACTTACTCGACTTATCTCTATGCTTTTGGTATGTAGATATACATCTCCTCTTACACACTTATTCCTTTGTTTAACTTGTAGTTCTGTGTGTGTCTGTGTGATTTCAGGAAAGTGGTTTGTGAGCACAGGAAAAGACAATCTGTTGAATGCATGGAGGACACCATATGGAGCTAGTATTTTCCAGGTGAGATGCTGTGAAGATATTTATGTTCTGTGTATACATATTTGTATATATAAATATATATACATGTGCATATTTGGGCTGCGGAGTCATCAGTTTGTCAGTGTGGATAGTGCTGATAGAAGCTGTCTTTATGTGTCCATAAACTCTCCCTGTACCACACACCCACAGCCCTTGGGGCAGAAGAGGGAAAAAGATGAGGGAGTTCAGAGGGAGAAAGTGAATGAGAAACTTTTTTTTTTATTTCAGATTTGTCAGTCCAAGGTGACTTGCTGAGGTTTATCAGCAGGTGCAGGCCGCACACTCAGAAAACACAGAACAAATGTAATTCCATCATGTTCAATCGCTCCATTTGCTGAAATGCTGCAACCAGAATATGCAGGGAGGCAGAATGTTCAGCTGAGCCAGTTCTGAAACTAGGTGATGGGGGGTGACGGTACATTTAAGCTCAGAGTTGTGTGTGTGTGTGTGTGTGTGTGTGTGTGTGTGTGTGAGGTAGTGTGGCTGTCATACAGTGGGCAGCAGGGTTGGCGGCTTCTGTCTCTCCCTGTGGACTGAAAGGAGAACGCTGCTATCTGCTTTGTTATCCAAATGCCAAACGTTTCTCCTGCCAAATAGCTCCCTCCTGTCACTGTGTTATACAGAGCTGTTTCCTCTCCTTATTCTCTTTTCTGGTTTATTACTGTTCTTTCCCGTTTCTGTCTCCTTGCTTCTGGTTGACTGCTTGCTCCATCTACACCCATATTTCCTCTCTCTCTCTCTCTCTCCCCTTGTCTCCCTTTTTATTGTTGTCCTTCCTTCCTCTCTGTGCTTTGTCATGTTTATCTTTCTCTGTTAATCTGTACAGTATGTACCTCTACCCTCAGGTTTTGTCCTAGTCTTTCAGGTATCCCTGTCCTTTGTATCATCCCATAATTTTAAGTCCTTTTTTCTTACAGTACTTTGTCTCTTTCCCCCTTCTCTTGGTCACATTCTGCTCTGCTGTTTGGCTGGTGCATTGCATAACCCCTGTTTTCCCTCCCTGTCTGTTTCTTTGTCATTTTGATATCCTAAGCTTAGCTCTGTTCCTGTTGTCAAGGTTTTCTTCAGCTTTTTGCTCACTTCTGTTGTATAGGTGCATGATAGGAAGTAACAGCTGAGGGAGCATTTCTGTTTGATTTATTTCTTTCCAATAGGTTGGACAATGTTCTTTTTGGTCGTCTATGAGTGGCTTTAGTCGTGCAGATATTGTGTTAATTTGATTCTTTCTTTTTTTTTTTGCATTTGTGTTGCTAGGGGCTGTGCAGTAGAGCTGAAATGTCACTTTATGCTTAACCGATCAGTGCATCTATATTGATAATTAATCATTGTCATTTTTCAAGCAAAAACTAAATCTTTAGTCACAATTGCTGTCTTCTTCTTATTATTAAGAATCTTTATATTTCACAGTTCTGGGCAGAAAACAATTAGATATCTTTTGAAATGTTGAAAATTGCAGTGGACATTTGACTATTTCTGCCATTTTGTGGACCAAACAGTTAATCTGCTAATCAGAGAAATAATGGGCAAATTAATTGATAAATGAAAAAGATTGTTGTGAACTACTACATCATACACTCCTATGGACAGAAAAGAAAACGGTACAACAAAGTAGAACAAAGAAGTGGACTCATTGGTTTAATCTTTGGCTGTGGTGTACAGATGGATATTTTGAAGCCAAAAGAGTTTTTTGATCGCTTCTTCCATAATTAAATGTGTGAGTATTGTTCATTTAAGTCAGTATATTTGGTGCATTTGGAGAGGAGGATAAGCTCTGTCTGGGCGGCTTGCAGAGTACAGTGAGAACACTGCCAGTTTTCTATCGGTAGACTGTTTTGGCACCATCTACCTGTTTTGAGAGCCAGGCTGTGTTCACTAAATCTCTACCTTGTCACAGTTTTCTTAGTTTTTTTGATCAACTACAGTGGTTGTTGTTGTATGTTTGCATTTAAGGGCCAAGTAACTATTGCACTAATATGTCAGATGCTTCTCTTTTTTAGTTCTGTATATTGTGTCAGATTTTTTGTGCTAATGTAATGCTGTCCTGATGGACCTTGGTATGTGTAGTTTTGTTTAGTTAAATTAAAACATTATGGTATGTTTATGAAAATACAACTTACAGCATTGTCAGTGATAGAACAATTAAGTCCTGGACTGTCTGTGCAAATATCAGGGACAATGGTAGTCTGCTAACCTCGGTCAAGAAACAGATAGACATTATGATACAATGTATTGGGAAATAAGAAGGAGAATATTTATTCAAATTAATAAGAAAATGATTATCCTGTTCTTTCTTATTCTTCCCAACATTTTTTGCTGCTCAACCCCTCCCGCATACTTTCACCTAGAAAAAACATTCAAATATCAAAATGTTTGGCTTTTTAATGACATTATGGAATATATTCAACTTTTTTTTTACTTTTTAAAATGTTTTTTTTTTCCAACATTTTTTATAATGGAAGTCAATGGGAGAATTTTCAAATCTTCCTCCTCTTTCAGCCTTAACAGCTTCAGCTAGAAAACCATTCAACCTTTACACAAGTCAGGACAAGTTCAGCTATTCATCTTGTATTCAGCTTTTTGATCTCTTTTACAGTTTTTTAATTATTGCACTTCACATTTTATGTTGATTTTGGACATTTCTTATCCTCTCCATTCATTTGAATGGGGAGAGCTAGAGTGGGTGACATCCCAAAACACTCTAGTTCTGTCTTACAGCCTTTTAACAATTTTCTTGTTTTCTGCTCTTATTCTGCCAACCTTAAGCTTCCACACACAATATACATGAAAACGATAGAGAAAATAGTGGGGAATCAGAAAATGCCCTTGTTATTGTGATAGGATCAACGGTTTTTGAATGAAGTGGCAAATTGTGCCGCCTCACTCTCCCATAGACTCACATTGTAAAAAAAGAGTCAAAAAATCATCTTGAAACAAAAGTGAAGGCAATTTGAAAATCGCCACAGTTCCTTTATTTTATGGAATATCTTCACATAGAGCTGATCAATCTGTTTGTTGAAGCCTCCTGCTGCTCATAGTAGAGATTTTTTCGATAGGACGTATACTTTTTTTTTTTCTTTTGTCTATTTTGTGAATCCCATGTTTCACTGAAATCTGCTGGAGTGTCCTAAAACTTCTGAGCCACCTGACGATCCACCTGCTATTTTCGGTCGCCCATTTCTTTTCTACACACACCCTCTCTCTCTATGTTAATTGACGTGCAGTCAGTCAGTATCTGTGTGAACCGAGTCTCTTGTCAGACCCCATTTTTTACAACATCTTATAGTAAGCCACATTTTTCAGGAGAGGCTCCGTGTTGCCGTGTTCTGGTTTCAGGAAGCTCCTTATTTCACTTAGCCATGGAGTCACAATGTTTTGATTAATTACTCTGACTGGCTTTTTTACTCATGTGAATCCTGAAACCAGCAAACTGGTAGATATATATAAAATATATAGGCATGTTGCTATTAATTCTTCAGTAAATCTACATGCATTTTCTTCAGGAAATGCATTTGTCCAGTTGTCTTTGTGTTTTGTCTCGCTGTTCCACTCCATCTGTCTCTGAAGTTTTACTTTCCTCTTGTCCAAACTCATCCTTTGGCTTGTCATTACATCCCTCCCTCCTGAGTGCCCTGAACTCCCCCAACTTGCTATCTTGGTATTGTATGAGGAGTCCTGTGTGAAATGGCCTCTCACCAGTGGCTTGATGATTGACAGCCCTGCTGTGCCTGTAGCTCGGAGGGAGGAAGAGGAGATGAGTTTAGCGAGGAGGAGGAGATGACATGAGAGAAGGGGGCTAAGTGAAAGTGGAGCTGCAGAAGAAGAGGAGGAGGAGGAGAGTCTGGGAAGAACTGAAGAAAGATATATTATGATGGAGCAGTTGGAGGGAGAGGAGGAGAAGGGGAGGGGTTAGAAGGAGCTTTAGATAATCTAAAGCCAGGTGTCCAGGTCTGGCTCTCAGACACAGGGGGGACAAAAAAGGAAGGATTGTGCATTTTCTCAGTTCATGAAGGCCATCAGACATGTGCTGCTAGTTATGTTTAAACCTGCAGTTAATGAGGCTGCATTGCTCCAAAGGAAGAGAGAAGGGAAGGGAATGAGAGAGCGAGAGCAGTGTCTCACATTGAAGCAAACAAATGAGTCAGCATCTTGGAGCTGTGGAGCTGTCTGTTTGGAAATAATTGCCGACTGTTTTGAAATGCAAATATGTCTTGTATGATTGAGTATTAAGTGATGAGTCATATCTTTTCTAACATTTCCTTCTCTGTTTCTCTCCATCTGTCTCCATCCATCTTTCATCACCTATCTCCCTCTCCTGGGTTTGTGCCGGTGTCTCTTTCCTGCTCCCAGTCCAAGGAGTCCTCATCTGTGCTGAGCTGTGACGTCTCCCCAGATGACAAGTACATAGTGACGGGCTCCGGGGACAAGAAAGCCACGGTGTATGAGGTGGTGTACTGAGGGCCTGGATGAGATAGGAAGGGACAGGGACAGGACTTTGGGGTGGTTTTTGGGGGGTGGCGGTAGCACACACACAGTTGCCCTGCCAGCTGCTCCCAATCCTTATTACATCAGCGACAGCAGCATCTCTGTCTCAGTCCTCATGAACCTCACGCCTAACCTCACCCTCTCTGCCTGTTTGCTGTGATATAAGCTACTGTGAACATCCCCAAATTTCACCCCCTCCCCCTTCCACTTTTCACCCAAAGGATGAGGCATAATAGTAGATGGAGGCAGAAAGGGAAGCAGCAAGATAAGAAGGACAAAGGAAAAGGGCAGTGGAGCATAAAGATAAAGTCAGGAGGATAAAGAAGGAAGAGAGAAAGCAAGAGTGAGGAAGGAAGAGAAATGAAAGGGAGGAAGAGTGAGGCAGGGTAATTAGGGTTGTTTCCTGATTAAGAGCTCAGTGGAAGGGAGGACCCCAGAGAAGGCGCGGAGTGGCACTGTGGGAGCGCCAGCCAGGAGCACTGATACCACACAATCGATTCATTAGCCAGACAGTGGAAGCCTTAATGAGGCTGACGCCGCAGCTCACTCTCCCCAGCGAGAGGTGTCAGGAGCTGGGGAACAATGACGCTCTGAGATGGAGGGGGGCCGCTGCAGATATCCACATACACTGACATGAAACATAGACCTTTTCACACATACACGCGTCATCAGGCAAGAATACACACACTCGGATACACCGCCCTGAGGTAATCATAGGAAGAGAAAAACACACAGAGCACCCAATTAAATATTCATCGCAGTGCTCCCTATCTCACTGCTTAATATCTATTTTATTTTGGTCTGACAAAGGCAGTGTCTAATGAGGAGCGGAGTCAGTGGGATTCTCCTAGGGCCCAGAGACACAAACAGAGAACATCGGCTGAGCGGCTCCCTCTAATTCCTCTGGATTGTTCTCCTGACACCTTGCGCTGCACTCACTCTCATTAAAGGCACTGTCAGCTAGATGAAGTAGCAGCACGCCAACTTCACTGTAAAGCAGACAAAAGGGCAAATTAACACGCTATCATCAGCAACCAACTAAGCAGCTAACAGCAACTAATCCAATTCCTTTCAAATTTTATGCAACTACTTGCTGTTTTATTTACAAATCAGAGGAGATTACATGTTTATCGTAGTCATTATCTCCGTCTCTATCTGCCTGCTGATGTGCTAATGTTCAAACTGCTCTGGCTAAATCTTGTTTGATATGCTATTGCTATTAATTGAGATGCTAAACACTTTAAAGAAAAAAATAGAAATTTTGTCAAATATGCTTATTTCCTTTCTTAGTGAGATTTAGATGAGAAGATACCACTCATGTACTGTGTAAGTGAAGCGTGAAGCTAACGCAAGCAGGCTGCTAATTTAGCTTCACACAAAGGTGGAAACAGGGAAACAGGTAGCTTAGTGCTAATTGAATCTAACAGAATCCACTAAGATCACTAATTAATACATGATACCTTGAGGAGGTATCAAAGTACCTTGAGGTACAGCAAATACCAAAGCGTAAAAATGAGAAATTGCAGAGTATTTCTTGTTTGGGACCAGTTTTCCAATAAGAGGAGACTCCACAAAGTTACTGGTGCTGTCCAGGACACAACCCCCACCCCCCGCCAAAAAAATAATAAAAACAAATAACTTGATTTACCAGTTTCACACACTGCAGCTTGTAGGGATTAAACAATTGAGACATAACTTATTAATTGGTGAACTTTAAGAGGTGTTTGTAAGTGGATTTTTTCCCCAGATGGAGCTGGGCTAGCTATTTCCAGTCTGTGTGCTAAGTATGAAAGCAGCTAGCAGCTGGCCAGCTTCATACTTGGCACACAGATATGAGTGGGAACAACAGACATGGCAAAAGTAAACGCATTCGTTACTCAAGCAGAAGTACAAATACCCGTGTTTAAAAAAAAAAAAAAG